CTCTGGAAAAAGAAACATTATATAAGCGGATGCAAAGGGGGTTAGAAAACTGACCTTATGGAGATGACAGTATAATGTGAGTGTTAAAGCAGTTGATACTCCCAACCTGATCATCCCTCACACACACACACACACACACACACACACACACACTAAGCTACCAAGTGCATTTACCTGTCTAACCATCACCTGCCAGTTAATGATGATAACTGTCATCATGTCACTAAACCTATTTATTAAACATATTTTACTGGGCTTCCTAACTGCATCTACTACATTTGCACTGGACTTCACACAACACTGCTGCTGGATTTACTCAATTTTTGTCCATTGTAATTAAAACCCATAATTAGTTTATTTTGCATTTTACTTATTACAACTCTTGACAGCTTTGTACAGCTGCCCCTCACTTTTGCTTCACTTTGGGTGAGAAATATTTCCCAGTTTTCTGTCATCTTCAATCTGAAGCAGCTGCTGTTGAGGGCCTTTAATTCTCATTTAAATACTTAAATTATGTGCAACCCCAAAATAACGTGTCTTGTTTTAATCAGCTGAGTATGAATACCGGAAACATGCGTAAGAAATTGACTTAATAGCTTTAGATAACGTATAAGTATGGACATACTAGCTTTGAACGCATAACATTATCTTAGCTAGCATGTTAGCCAGGCCTTTAGCCTCATACCTTCTTTTCGCTTTAGCTACTGCAGCTACACTCGCCTTATATACGTGCAGTTACATTATCAGCAGCCATAAATATGTATATAAAACCTCACATGTATTAAACACACATTTTCTGCATGTTTTCCTAAACGGCTGCGCATCAAACGCTGCCCAGCCGAGCAATGCTAACTAGCAACACAGTTAGCTAAAGTGCTAGGTCGTAGCTAAACTTACCTGGGATTGAAGTCCTGAAACAGTCCTCTTAAATTCATGGTGTACAAAATGGCCGGTCAGTTCGCCAACATTAGTCGTTCGCTGATTCACCGCTGAATTTGTTCGCTAAACATGGTAATTTCGGCGACTGTCGAGCTCTTCGGTGCGGTATCATTACAGCTCGCTGCTGGCCCGTGTGTTTTGTTTTTTTCTGTCGGTCTAGTCACGTGACTACACGGAAATGACGTCAGCCAACAGTTGAGTGAGGACATTGAATGGAATTGAATTGAATTGAATTGAATTAAATTAAGTTTGATTGATTAAATTAAATTAAATCAAGTAAAATCTAATCAAATTAAATTAAATTGAATTAAATTAGACATTAAATTAAATTAAATTAAAAATCAAATTAAACATTGGAGTGGTCTCTCCCAGTATGACAAATGCACTTCACAATGTGCAATGACTTGATTTAAAATGCACTTTAAACCTGCTGCTGTCATTAATTTATTGATATTTACACACTTCATATTATTTGATTTATGCTTAGTTAAATGGTCAAAGTTTTATCTTGTCATTATCTGTGGTTTTACTTTGTTCATATCTTGTTTTAATGTTTTAAATATAGCTCTTATCAATGTTTTTATTTTGTTTGTGTGCAGCTCTTAGCCTGAGAGGCCGTTTACACGTACACGGTGATTTTGATAAATGGAGACATCTTCCTCCATTTGTGCCCTTCGTTTACACGCAAACGGAGGTTTCTCCTCTGAAAACGAGTCTTTCTAAAAACTCCAGCCAGAGTGGAGATTTTGGAAAACTCCGGTTGCGCGTTTGCATGTAAACTGAGATAAACAGAATTATAGGCAACCGACGTCACAGTATGCGCCGGAACTTGCGCCTGTGTCAAAAGTGCAACCTATGTTGCTATGGTGACAATGGATACATGGAAGGCTTGAGCTTCTCGTTACACTGCCACCTACAGGTTTGGCATGCTCTTGTGTATATATACACAGGTAAGTGTAAACGAAGATCTTTTTGAAAACGGAGATGGTGAAATGTCCGTTTATGAAAATAGCCGGCCACGTGTAAACAGCCTCTGAGAGTAACCAAAGATAATTTTGTTTTACATCTACAATGACACAAAGTGTCTTATTTTATTTTATTTTATTTTTTTAATGTTTGTTTACATAAAAGTCATTTTGTACTGATGGGTACAAAAAGATAAATCAGATTGTTAAAACAATTATTAATTACATGATGCCTGATGCAGTGGCGGTGGCAGCATATTTGGAGCCCTAAATGAGCCTCCCCAATTATAACCAAAATGCAAATAAACAGTCTAGCTAACAATAAGACATAAGTTGATGATAAGACAGATAAAAATATGTGCTTATTTTCTTTCAGTAACATGCTGTACATGTGTGATAATAATTTAAATCAAAAATCAATTTAAAAATAATTACAAATTAACTTGAATAAAAAAATAAAATAATAATAATAAAATGTACAAAATAACTTTCTAATGGAACAAGGGATGCAGTGGTTTTGAAATTCTGGGCCAATACTGATACCAATGTTTAAAGTAACTAATTGGCCAATAGCTGATATGTCATAATTCCCTCTCTAATATCTATTTCTCAGTGCTGTGAAAACATCAACAAAAGGTCTCCAAAAGTGATGTTTTACAAGATTACACTGAACACATCACGAAACGTTATGACTTACCTTCGCCCAATACTTATTTTTACTGAATAGAGCTTGAACGCCTCACAACGTAAATCAACAACCTCCGTCAGCTGTTTGTTGCGGCTTAACTAAGTCATCTCCTGCCGAATACAACACGGATTTGTATTGTTTGTATACTCTGACATTCAAATGGCTTTGTGGCTGATGGGTGGGTGGACTGTAACCGACCAGAAGTAATCCCCTGACATGGATGGCTGCCAATCTCACCTGTGGCAAGAACCACCAGAGATGGCTCTCCTTATTGGGATCAAATATTTATTTCTCATTACTGGAGATTCTGCGTCACTATGTCGATTATCACATGCACACAGACATATTACTGAACATAAACCATCCTGATGTAAACATTTTACGTATATATTTTATTAAATATGTATTCTGTGCATGTTTGGTGCAAATGTGGCTTCAGGGTGAATAAAGTTATATCTCATCCTGTCTTAGGCCGAAATTATGAACATGTCAAATAAAGATATTGTTTTGCAGAATCATTTCCATCTGTTAAAATGCAATAAATATTCATTTTCCCTACTAAGCTGTGGTAAAATTTGTAGTTTTTTATGTACTGTGACTTTTAGACCAGCTGTAAATTCTTTCTTCCTCTTGTTAATCTTAAAATAATTTGAGGAAGAAGGTTTATCAGCAGATTGAAGGTATCATCACCATCATAAGACTGTGTGTGTGTTTGTCATCACTCAGTGTGAGTTGTAATGGCACAATTTAAGACCTTATTTTGCTCCAAAAACCTATTCCATCAGTAAAATATAAGCTATGACAAACAATCCAAATTTAAAAAAAATGTTTTAATCATTTTAAAATGCACATGAAAATGAACATGACGTGAAGCCTGACAGATTCAGGAGCTGGTGTTGAACTTTACCGTCATGTAAGAACAATTTGCATGGGTGAATTAAGGGTGACTGGGACATGAGGTCAAACGGGAATGTAGGGTGTATTGTCTCACTTGATGAGTGGAAAAAAAAAACTGTTTGGCCGGGCCATAGCTGTGAAACCACAGAGTCAAAACCGCATGTCCTCATAGGTGTGACATCATCTAGGTGGGACAAGAGTCAAACAGGACGTTGACCCTGCAATACATGAGGCGAGGAAAATGCCATGACCTTCAGCTGGCTTTAATTAGGGCTAGGCAATAAAGATAAAGACTCATATCTCAGTATTTACACAATGACTGGTGATACACGATATATATCTCGGTATTTTCTACAAAATGAGCTACATGTTCAGATGTTTGAGATGTCACATGCACTTCTATAGAAACAGTCTGTGATCAGAATAAAATGCAAAGACAGGGATTATTTCACAGTTTGAAAATATACAGCTGCACGACATGGAAATGAAGAATGATATAAAATGAATAGCAGGGCTGTACGTTAACGTTTTGCACACAGCACTGAAAGGTTTGCAGCACAGGACACTAAAGTATAACATGAGTATAAAAGTGTCAAGTAGTTTTGAAATAAATAGAAATCTTTGTGGGCGAAGCTAAAAAGACATTTTCCATCTGTTGGCCTTTCAGATGAATCTAGTGCTGCAAAATGATTTAAATATCCTGTGGGATGTGAAAGGGAGGGGGCTGTTGTGACAGTACAGAAACAAGGACAGCTTTATATTGCATGAACTGTTGACTGTTGAACAGAAATGAACATGGAGTCTTAATTCCTACTGAAAAACAGCAAACGAAAATGTGCATGTTAAATTATATCAAAGTGTGAAATAAACTGTGCAATAAATATGTTTACACTGAATCAGTGATAAGATGTGTTGTCCTCATCACCCAAATGTTACCAAAAAAAAAACAACAGAGGTTTGGGGCAATTTTACTAAAAACATGGTGGATGGTGGAGCTGCTGAATGGATTTGTGGAGTTTGTAGCAGTGGCTGTTAGCAGTTAGCTCCACTTGTTAGCCAATGAATGGCAGCGGAGCAAGCGGCCACCAGCCGCCGGACTTCACAGCTGAAATATGATATAACTGTCTGTCCTCCTCAAATGGATTGGTAACATCTTCAGTTTTACAGACAGGTATCATTCATTGAGCTATTTTTTTTAAAATCTATGGCGAAAAGTTACAGAAGGAGGGAATTCAAGAGTTGATGTTGGCGTTAGAGGATGTAGCTATTTTTGACTACTGAGGTGTAGATCTATGTTAACACCAAACCTACACACTGCCTCGTCGTTACTAAAATTAGATATATGGATGGAAAAGTCTCACCTGCAGGGGTATTTCTTTGTACATGAACAACAGGATGTGTAACGTGTCAATCAAACCTGACACAAGCTTTTAAATAAAATGACTGCAGATCAGTCACATAAATAAAAATAAATAAATAAATACACAATAATCGTAAATACAACAGTAAAAAATAAAATACATAAAAATAAAAATAGAAATAAAATTAAATAAAATTAGATTAAAGACAGTTCAATTAAAAGCCAGTCTAAAAAGGTAGGTCTTGAGTTTGCATTTTAAAAAAAGCAACACTCTGTGTTCCTCAGGTCTTCAGGAAGGCTTCTCCACAGACACGGACCATAGTTATCTGAGAAATACTAGGACTCAGACCATTAAGAGCTTTATCATTTTTATTTTTGTCAGCTGTCATTTTAGCCACCCTGTTCACCTCCAGCCATCGTATCCAGACTCCAGGACGAGCTCAACAAAGGTCCATTCCTCTACTCATCCAGATCATCAGCGCTTCTCCATCTTCACCACCTCTACCACCACCGGCGGCGTTCCCTATTCATCACTCTCCTTAATCATACCATCTCGAAAGGGGTCTAATCGCCAAAGACTCATTCTTACGTGCACATGCTAAATATTCTTTCTACTATAAAATACAAGTTTCTCCTGATTGAATTATATTTGGCAACTTTTGCTCTCTCTCCTCAGCATAACCTTGTCAACAGACTGAGCTGAGTTTTGGCAGGAAATGAAAATGAAAATGAAACCTGTGGGACTGTTGGGACCTGGAAGTTTCCACTGATGCCTACATACAAGCAACAGACACTGATAACTCAAAATAAACTCAAAGTTTCCATCAGCTCTGGATAAAACAGCCTTTGAGCCAATGCCTTTGAGCAGGAAGTGTTTGTTTTTCTGCCACCTGCTTCCTTTAATAGATAAATGTTTTTAACAGAGGAGCACAAACAGAGAAAAACAACATGCTTTGTTTTTTAACTTAATAAATATGGAGAAATAAAAAACATTCCAACAAGTCTCTTTCACTTTCAGATTTTATTTTTGTTTTTCAGCCTGAGGCATGTTCCTACCTATTTATGCACTCGTCACTCGTTAATCAACATGACATGAAGTTAAAATGGCCACATGCAGACAAAAATACTGCACCTCAGGTAGACCTACATACAACTAATCTGTGAGTGTGTGTTAGTGTGTCTGTGGAGGGGAGCAGCTCTCTCAGTGCGTCATGGTGAAGATGGCAGGCAGCAAAGAGTGATGATAGTCAGCTGAATTAAGTTAAGAATTAAGTTCTGCAGCTCTGCATAAGGGAGGATGGCGAGGCGTTCGGGTGCCGCTCACTAACAATGGTTTTACTGCAGTCTTCACCACACAACATGGCCTTCTCATGAGGTTAAGATGTAGCCCTTAGGTTTTCTCTCTCTGTGCGAAAACTCTTTAGTTTTAGTCACATTTTAGTCATTTTTATCCATGTTTTAGTCAACGAAAATTTCATTTAGACAAATTTTTCTACAAACTTTCATTTCTCCAGCAGTGTTCAAGAGGTTTAAGGGCGGATTTACGAGCACACGCTCACTGATAATTTATTCGAAAAGCTCAACATCTCTGTTTATGCTCTCAGAAACAACTCTCTGCAACATGTTAGTCTAGAGGTTTAAACTCGTGTCTCACAGAGTTGGTGATTAAAACTAAAATTTCATCTCTGGCAGAGAAAACTGATCTGAGTTCAAACTGTTTACTTACAGCACAGCTACACTCACAGATAACTGAGCCTCCTGTCAAACAAGATCAAACCATAAACCATCCTGAGGCAGCCTGAACTGAGTGGAGTCCTTCAGGGATCAGATGTGAAGTCCGGCAGCTGGTAGCTGCTTGCTCCGCTGCCATTCAGCAGCTACCAAGTGGCGCTAACTGCTAACAGCCACCGCTACAAACTCCACAAATCCATTCAGCAGCTCCACCATCCACAGTCAGACACACACGGCTGATTATTTACTGCTGAATTACAGCTTACAACTCGCACCAACTGTGGACGCTGCTCCGGTGTGAGTGTTTTTGCTGGTGCAGACTATTTACTGGAGTTTACCTGCCTGACGCTCATGCGACATTTGAAGATAATCAATGTCTGATAGTCCACCACTAACATTTTCATCACGTCTTGTCTCATCAGCAAAATGAAACATAGATTTCGTCTCAGTTTTTATTATCAAGATCTATTTTAGCTCGTCATCGTCTCATTTTCGTCATGGGAAAAAAGGACGTTGACGAAAAAATTTCGTCACAGTTTTCACCAACGAAACTAACACTGCGCTGTTGCCCAGAGAAAAACATTATGTGGACACAAGCCCTTAGTTGTCACCTCTCGGTTAGAATGAAAGTGAATGGGAAGCGAACATTCACCAATTTTAATTTTGCCGCGTGACCGTACCCTCAAGAAGTGACGTTTGGAGAGATAGTAGTGAGTCAAGATGGACCAACAAACTGAAAAAGTGAAAGATGGTGCTGAAAAGCTGAAGTTACTTATTATTCATCTGGTGGTGTAGCCAGTAAATCCTCATGACCTAATGAGTCTGAAGGTACTGTCCGCAGAGAGAAGGGAGAGGAGAGAGCACAGTCCAGTGAGTCCAGACATGATACTTGTTCAACTATTTGTGAAGTGCAGCAACTGAAGTGGTGAAGACGGGGCAGCCCGAGTCAAACAGTCCAGGGCTATTTTAGATTCCCGGTCTGCCCCTGGTCAGACACCAGTTCTCATATAAGCAGCTGGTGACACAGTCCGTTCATTATCATCCCATGTGGCTGACAGCTGTGGGAGTCATCACTGATGCGTTAGTCACAGCACAAATGATGTAAACACCCTGTAATCATTCGCACGCTGTATTTGGCAACTAATCATAACTGGCCAAGTATGTGTTCACATACAAGGTGGTCTTTTGTTGCTTTCAGTGTACTTACACAGAAATAAACAGCCTGTGAATGGGAAGCGAACATTCACCAATTTTAATTTCGCCGCGTGACCGTACCCTCAAGAAGTGACGTTTGGAGAGATAGTAGTGAGGCAAGATGGACCAACAAACTGAAAAAGTGAAAGATGGTTCTGAAAAGCTGAAGTTACTTATTATTCATCTGGTGGTGTAGCCAGTAAATCCTCATGACCTAATGAGTCTGAAGGTACTGTCCGCAGAGAGAAGGGAGAGGAGAGAGCACAGTCCAGTGAGTCCAGACATGATACCTGTTCAACCATTTGTGAAGTGCAGCAACTGAAGTGGTGAAGACGGGGCAGCCCGAGTCAAACAGTCCAGGGCTATTTTAGATTCCCAGTCTGCCCCTGGTCAGACACCAGTTCTCATATAAGCAGCTGGTGACACAGTCCGTTCATTATCATCCCATGTGGCTGACAGCTGTGGGAGTCATCACTGATGCGTTAGTCACAGCACAAATGATGTAAACACCCTGTAATCATTCGCACGCTGTATTTGGCAACTAATCATAACTGGCCAAGTATGTGTTCACATACAAGGTGGTCTTTTGTTGCTTTCAGTGTACTTACACAGAAATAAACAGCCTGTGAAAACAAGGACCACAAAACATAAACGTGTAGGTGCACCTTGCTAGTACCAGGTTGGACCTCATTTTGCCTTCAGACCTGCCTTAATTCTTCATGGCTTCTCCCGTTCCACCACATCCCAAAGGTGCTCTATTGGACTGAGATCTGGTGACTGTGGAGGCCATTGGAGTACAGTGAACTCATTGTCATGTTTGGGATGATGTGAGCTTTGTGACACGGTGCGTTATCCTGCTGGAAGTAGCCATCAGAACCAGTCTGGCCATTCTCCTCTGACCTCTGACCTCTGGCATCAACAAGACATTTTGGCTCACTTGATATTTTCTCTTTTTGGGACCATCCTCTGTAAACCCTAGAGATGGTTGTGGTGAAAATCCCAGTAAATACTCAGACAAACAATCATGCCACGTTCAAAGTCACTTAAATCACCTTTCTTCCTCATTCTGATGCTCAATTTGAACTTCAGCAGGTCGTCTTCACCATGTCTACATGCTTAAATGCAATGAGCTGCTGCCACGTGATTGGCTGAATGCCTCAAGGCTAAACCGAGAGTCCAGTATGTACTAAAAATATACGAGATGAACAAATAACAGAAAAAGTGCACTTGCACTGTAACACAACAGGTAACCTGGCTTTGAACATCTAAATCGTCAAACAAATGCTACAACTGTGTTGATGATTTCTGCACACACAGCACAGCAGAGACAACAAGAAAAAACACACACACACTAAAAAACGGATTTAAAGTGCAAATTTAATAAGAGGTAGTTCAATCAGTGATATCACAACAAGAGCAGCGCTTACCAATATAAAGACCAGATTTTATTGGAACATTTAAAATAGAATATAGCAAATAACATCAACAGAATACTGAAGGCATTTTTATGGTCACAGTTACACTGTAATTTTTTTCCCATTTGACAACAAAGAATCGCACAATGAAATATAAGTTGAAGCCCCTCCGCGCCACACACATACAAAACACATGTACATAAATCTAAATCACAAGACAATTAAATGAAATAAAAACAAGAGAGGGGATTTAAAAAGCACAGAAAATTCCCCTGATGAACAGCATCTTCCACATAAAAGTAAAATTACCTCTGACTCATTACCAGGTAACTGCAGGTGCTTTCCCAATATATGGTCTCATGCTTCTGGGCTGAGGTGAAATATATCTATAAAGTATGCACATGTTCAGTCCATTTAAAAAAAAACTGACCTAAATCTCCCAGCAGTAAACATTTAAACCAAATAATGACTCAGAAAAATAACGCCAAAAATGTGCCACTGAATTCTATTTTTTCAGGCACTATCCGCCTATAAATCACCTTGAGCTTAACACCACTGTGATGTGTCCAAAAAAGTTCTTAGAGGTTCTACTTTTTGGTATCTAGATGAAAAATCAGGGCCTAGAACTCTTCTGTGTCTATGAGCTGTAGATGTAGAAAAACAGACTAAACATCATAAGAAAGAACCGGCTTAAAATAACTACTTACATCATTTATGTTGTACTTGATGGCTGCTGCATAACCTCCCAGTGACCTGCGTCTCTTCACAGCTCACAGAGAGCTCCAGAGTTTAAAGTGCATTTAAGCTCGGCTCACTCGCCGGAGGAAAATGTTGGCATTGTACATTTCTGCAAACCACAGACACGTTTGTAAGTTTCTTACTTATCATGTCAGCTTTTCTAAAGTGACTGAGTATATGTGCCAACTTTGTCATTGGGAGGTGTAGGGGGTGATGGATGGAGTGCTGCCTAGGTGAGATGGCTACCAACCACCGCTCGAGACCAACAAAAAAACAAGAACATTTGTTTTTTTAGCAAAACATTATGGTATTTTGCAGCACCAAACCAGGTGTCTCTTAGGGGGGACTTTGCTGGCATTTCCAGCCACAACTGAGGCAACAAAGCTACGTTTTAATGAGACATCAGAGCATTTCCAGCCACAATTGTGGCACCAACACCATGTTTTTTAACGAGACATCAGGGCATTTCCAGCTGTGATTGACACCAAACCAGGTGTTTCTTAGGGGGACTTTGCCAGCATTTCCAGCCACAACTGAGGCAACAAAGCTACGTTTTAATGAGACATCAGAGCATTTCCAGCTGCTATTGCAGCACTTAAACCTGGTATTTTTTAACAAGACAACTGGTTATTTCCAGCTGCGACTGTGACACCAGAGCCATGTTTTTTTAACGAGACATCTTGGCATTTCCAGCCCCGATTGTGGCACCAAAAACCACGTTTTTTAGTGAGACATGGGGGCATTTTTAATTTTGATTGTGGCACCAAAACTGGGTGTTTTTTGGCAAAAAATCAGTGCATTTCCAGCACTAGTTGTGATGACAAAATTAGATATTTTAAGCCAAAACATGATCTTTTCCTAACCATAACCAAGTGGTTAAATATAACCACGAGTTAACCACCTCATTGTTGAAACATAAAGAAAAGTGAAGTTTCAACCTATCCACTACATACTAAACGTACAAATGTTACGTACCAGTGGTTTGCAGAAACACACAATGCTAACATTTATTCTACCAACTACGTTTTTTGGACTCAAGTATAACATAGATAACTATACTGCGGCACACACTTGTGCAGCAGCTTTTGGCTCAGATGTCCTGTGTCTTTTGTTTCGTGTTCTTTGTTGGAATGCATCACTTGAGTGTCACAACTAATTTTGTTGTATTCCTATGCAATGACAATACAGGCCTTCTAGTTTTAGTTGTAGTTCTAGCTGTAGGTGTGCATTTTGCAATGCAAAGTCATGCAAAGAGAGATGAAATGTTTCTGTGTGTCCAACCGTCACATGCAAAGCTATCTGGAGACAAAATTCAAATTACATCAACGTTTTACAGAAGCAATCCAGTGTCAGTGCTAACACAGCTGATGCTAAAAAAGGGCATCAGTGCAACATACTATAGAACCTCTTTAAAGGAACATTATATATAAACTGTGTCTGGACGGATCTGACTCCTCAAAATAACGGGGAAAAGTCCAGGCTAGATAGGTGTGTAGTGTTCTCATCTCTATGAACCACCAATGTAGTCTTAGGGAAACCACTTAGACTACAGGTCCTTTCATACGCTGGAGGGGAAAGAAAATGAATAATTAGTCAGCTGTCAGCATGTTAGCATCATTGAAACACATAAACTCAAAAATGAAAGGCTCTGACGTACCTCCCGTTTTCGATACTTGTGTATCAAATATCCTGTGACTCCTCCAACAACGAGGATCGTCAGCAAGATGCAGAAAACCACAATTAGGATCACTCTACTCTGACTGGACAGCCCACCTGACAGGAGCAAACAACAAGAGATGATAAGAGCTGATGTTAGAAAACAACATACACACAACATGAATGTGACTCAGTGTCAGGTCTGATAAACTCTAAAGCTTTAGTTATAATCCATCAGATTTCAGCCCTGAAACACAAAATGCCAAAAACGACTATCTTGTGTTGTAGATGCATTTTTTATCAGTGATCACTGCCGGTGCTAAACTTAAAGACAGATATATTAAGTTTCCTGTGACTGCTTCACAATAAAAGCCACCTCATGTTTCACCAGTTGAACTCTTTTAATGTGAAGCAGCAGCAGTTAGGAAATTAAGTATCAATGAGGTAAAATCACATTGTATAACATGCAGACATCGTTCCCTGTGAGCCAACTGTGCATGAGTACAATTTGAGTCCAGTGCAGGAATGGCGGACCCCGCCACTAACTAAGATAAAAACAGAATTTGACTGGCTATTGCTGAAAAAATACACACCATTAGAGACATTTTGAAAATCTTATAACAAGGGTAAAGAAACTTAAAAACAACATGTTTATGCTGATAACATTAAAAAGTTGGAAATTAAAGACTTTTCTCTCCTCACACAAAGTTGTAATAATTTTCTCACTTTTAACATCTTTGTCTTCCGTTGGATCAGGCGTTTGTAGACTGATGGATTGCAGTGGTGTTTCTGTTGTCTTAGCTGACTTTGGCTCTGGAAAAACAGAAGTTTCGCAGTGACTTACAGCTCTACATTTAAAGGAGACGACAGTAGTTACTTATTGCTAGCAAACATATTCAAGGTTCTGATCTTGTATTATATTTGGCACTGTATAGACAAGACAAAATGTTGATGTGTTAAACTGACTTTAACTCATCTGTTGTTGCAGCTTTAATTTGGACCATAAACAACATTTCAACAGATTAACTCACCAACAACAAGATGGACAATTGAATACTGCGTTTGGCTCTTTAACTTCGGGATGAAACATTTGAATCTTCCTGCGTCTGCAAGCGTCACATTAATGATCTTGAGCGATATGTTGCCTTGTCTCAGGCCATCTGCGAACAGCGCTGTCCTGTCCATGTACGAGGAGATCTTCATGTCCGGGACCTCGCGGGTGTCGCGGTACAGATGCACATACTCGACCCGGCTCAGTCGATCGTTGGGGTCAGGCTGGAGGTCGGGCCTCGACCACTCAACCGTCAGTCGTGCCACGTTGACGGGAGGCTCCACGTGACATGGTAGGATGATGTCATCCCCTGGAGCAACCACGACTGGTTGAGATGGACCAATCACCTTCGACTGACCTGAGAAACAGAGGATACATTTAAAACCTTTTGGAATCTGCTTTGTTGTATGTTGATTAGAGTACCTTGTAGATTTATCTCCACTATTACTTCCAAGTAATTCCAAAACTTTCTATAAATCCATACCCAGCTTCCAGAGACAATAACTTTACAACAGCAGTGCCACAAAGCAACAAATACACGCTTTGTTTGGAACACCACTTTTAACAAGTATTTCCATTCCTGATGAAGTAGGGGCGGATGTTTCCAGTCGCCTCTCTGTCAGCTCTGCTAATTTTGTGCTAAATTAAGGCTCTTGTGACTCTGTGGTGATTTTTGTTGTTGTCATTGGGCGGTGGTGGCGTGTGACTGCGAGTCACTCATCGGGATGAGGAAATCCACTCACCAAACATGGAGGAAAGATGGAGGACAAAGGGACACGGAGCTGAAATAGCATCCTGCTAGCTATCGCACAGGCATTAGAGATAAACTGGATGACCTCCATGCTGCATCAGTTTTTCAACAGGATATCAGGAACTGTAATATCCTTTGATTCAACAAAATTTCCTGGACAGCGCCATTCAACCAGGTCACTGTTTTTCTATTTGGCGATCTGACAGCAGAGGACTCTGGCAAAAGAAGGAGGGGACATGTGCTTTACGCTGAGTAAGGACTGGTGTGATGGTGGGAGTGTGAGGTGCTGTCCAGTTCCTGCACCTTATTAGAGGCGACTGCAGTGCGGTGCTGCCCATGTTTGGCAACCATACAACAGTCTAGCCATCTGTCTAGGTCCATGTATGGACAGTGTAGCAAATGTTGATGAAGAGTAGTGAATGATGAAGGAGATCATAGTTCAGATCATAGTCAGAATGACTAAGCAGTTAACCACATCTGCTGAAAATGTTTTGATTTTGCAAGAAAAATGAGAAGTGTACTGAAGAAAACAAGTAGAAGTATGATATCAGCTGTCGCACTTTAAACAATCATTTGTATTAGTGTGTATGTAGTGTCCTCATGGTGACTGTTTCCTAGCACTTATCGAAAGAGGATGTTTGATATGATAATCGAGGTGTCATTCTGTGTGTTGATATCATTCCCTAATTTGGAGATTGTCTATCAGTAACCTGTTCGTGTGTAGGTGATGTTCCAGACAAGACCTGCTCTTGACAAATCATACATGAGGGAGTGCAAGAGTTGATGTAATGGAAAGACTTGTTTGTTGAAAGCACTCTGCCATACTATAAAAATAGCACTCTCCCTTGCTAGTCAGAGACCCTTCTGTTGTACTGTTGTATGTACGCCAGAATACTCTCCCAGGCCTGCCCAATGCATCACTGCAAACTCTAACAGCGGGAAGATTTAACCCAACAGTTAAATCATTCCACAACCAGAAACCATGGATTACCAGAACCATCCAGAAACATGGACAATTCTGAAGCAGCAGCCACCGATGTAAGAAGACACAAAAAAGACTAAATTATCTGTAATCTGTCTATTGTCATTTGCTAATCCAGGGACGAGTCGCGAGGGCAGCAGGCCAAGCAAAGCACCCCAGACGTCCCTCTCCCCAGCAACACTTTCCAGCTCCTCCTGGGGAACCCCAAGGTGTCCCCAGGCCAGATGAGATATGTAATCCCTCCAGTGTGTTCTGGGTCTGCCCCGGGGCCTCCTACCAGTGGGACGTGCCCGAAACACCTCTAACAGGAGGTGCTCAGGATCCAGATCAGATGCCCGAACCACCTCAACTGACCCCTTTTGACGCAAAGGCAAAGCAGCAGCTCTACTCCGACCTCCCTCCGGATGTCCGAGCTCCTCACTCTATCTCTAAGGCTGAGCCCAGCCATCCTTCTGAGGAAACCAATTTCAGCCGCTTGCATCCACGATCTCATTCTTTCGGTCACTACCTGAAGTTCATGACCACAGGTGAGGGTTTGGGATGTAGATGGACCAGTAAATCGAAAGCTTCGCCTTTTGGCTCAGTTCTCTTGAAACTGACCTTAAACCAGGTGTGTGACCCAGAACATGATGACCGGGTTAAAGACTAAACCAAAGGTAACCCACAACCCATATGATGTCATGGGTTTAAAGAGAGCGTGTGATTTTGTTCCAGACACCACAGGCTTGAACCAGCTTTAAATGGCTTTTGACAGCTGATCAGCTTAGGACACACTTTAAATCTAAAAACATAAACAATAAAGAGGAACAGAAGTTGAAACTTCTCCATCACATGCTATGTAGTGCTATATATAGGTCAAGGTAAGGTAAACTTACTGAGAGGCACTTTGAGATAGAGACAGTAGTCATGAGTACAACATAACAGACAGTATGATGTAAGGATACAGAATCCAGTATGACACACCGTCAGGGGTGAATCATGGACATGCTTGTTAAGATCAGCAATAACATACGGGACAAAGGAGGATCTGTAATGCTTAGTGCTGCATTTAGGGAGGCAGAACCTCTGCCCTGATGGAAGCATCCAAAACTCAACATGGAGGGGGTGTTGAGAGTCTGAGACAACAGACCGAGCTTCAGAGGTGACCCTCTCTTCATACAGATGCTGGAGGTCATTTAAAGCAACACCAGTGATCTTACAACACAGCTTGACCACTTTTTCCAACCTGTTCTTGATTTTAAGGCTCAGATTACCAAACCAACAGATGATGTTAAAGGAAGGAACGGACTCGATAAAAGAAGAATAGAACAATTTCATGATCGTCCTTTCTACATAGAAATTCCTCACCTTCCTTAAAAGAATAGGCGTTGGTTTGACACAGGTGCACCTTGTTTATCGTCCACGGAACGCGGCTGCACGCCGACATTTTCAGAACAAAATAAAACAGGCTGCAGTGAGAGTCTCTCTCCATGGGATATTTAAAAATAAAATTGTGCATTTAGTCCTTCTCAGGCAAGCTCAGGGGTTTAGTGTTGCTGTAGCCCACAGGAACAACGCTCCATGATGCTTTCCATTTTCTCAGAGTGAGGATAAGAATATATAGAGTTCACATACCCCGGTCATAATTAATACCTATAAATACTTTAAGATCCACTCATTACTAAAAGTAAAAACCACTCTCTACTGACCAATCAGACTGCAGTGTTCACAGCTCCACCTTTTAGTACCAGATCTGTGTGCTAGGTACCCCAACCGAGGGGGGACCAAAAATGGGGACTGTACAGAACAGTTCCTTTGGTACCATCCACAAGTTTTTTTTTGTTTTTTTTTAAAGATATTTTTTGCCTTTAATGGACAGGACGGTTAAGTGTGAAAGAGGGAGAAAGAGAGGGGATGACATGCAGCAAAGGGCCACAGGCTGGACTCGAACCCAGGCCGCTGCGGCAACAGCCTTGTACATGGAGCGCCTACTCTACCACTAAGCCACCGACGCCCCCCATCCACAAGTTTTCACAGTGGAAACAGAAAAAAAAACGTGACAAACTGAACTGAACCGCACTGCTCAGTGGAAACAGGGCCTAAGATGATGCCCAGATACTTGTACTGCTGCCACCGGCTCCCCCTTTATTCAGCAAAGAGCAGGACGACAGGGCCTCCTCTGAAAATCAATAAACATCTCACTGGTCTTAGACACATTAATGTGGAGGAAAGAGTGGCCACACCAAAAAAACAAAACAAATTCTTCCAGCACTGAGTCATGATCATATTCTGATCCATGAAGAAGGCTTACAAATACTCTTCCTCATACCTAGAGACGAATCTTGATGAGTGATCACTCTGACATTCATTTGTGTATTTGAGAAAGAACACATCCCTGGGGGGATCCAGTAGAAGATAGATGGGTACTGGACTGTATGATATGCAAATGTCGAGTTTCTCTTCCAGTATCTAATGCAAACCAGCAGTGCCACATAGTCTGCTTTGACACTGTCAGAGAGATGTTAGTTAAATTAACCGAGGTGAAGTTAGTTTGGCGTTGGATATTCAGTAGATATTCCCATATTCATTTTGGGTTCAACAGTGATTTCCACCTCCCTCTCATAGGCAGAAAACAGTGAGCAACATACAGTAGAAAGGTGTAATACCCCCAGCTGCCCACACACACCCAAACACTCACTCCTGTTTTAAAGGAATTTCAAAAAAATTAATTTGGTTTTCAGTGAAAAAAAAGTCTATTTTCTTTAATAGCTTTCACATCGCTGGACCCAGAGACCCCACATCAATGTAGAATGGTTTGTCCACGTGGGCCTTATAAGGAGAAATAAGAAAATAGACTTTTCACTGAAAACCGATGGAGTTTATTTAAAAAAAATGGTATAAAATAGAAAAAGCACTGAACCCATTAAAACGAGGTGTGCCTTATTAGCACCTTGGTGTTAAACCATATGTTTTTACTGCTGAGCTCATAGTTAAATGTGTCGTAGCCTACTGGACTACATATTATAACAGAACACACACACACACACACA